TCACACACAGAGCATGTACATAATTGAAAGGTAAATCAGAGAAGTGGTAATTCACTTTAAAAAAAATTAGATTTCAAAACATTGCAAACTACTGCTTATTAACAATGAAGAGTAGCACATTTCCTCCAGAAAAGGGAAGTGACTCAAATGTGTCTCTGAAATTATGAAAGACTTCAAAAGACTAGATTTATATTGAGAGAGGAGACCAAAACCAGGGGCCTGTAAAAAGTAGCCACCAATCAGGAATTCAAGGAAAATATCTTTAGCCAAAGAATGGTGAGAATGTGAATCTTAATTCCAAATGGAATGGTTTAGCCAAAAAGCAAAGGGAAGCTGAGTGTGAGGAAATAGGAGATTTTTTTTATCTTTAGTTCATGGGATGTGGGCGTCACTGGCCAGGTATTGCCCATCCCTAGTTTCCCTTGAGAAAATGGTGGTGAGCTGCCTTCTTGAACTGCTGCAGTCCACATGCTGCAGGTAGACCCATAATGTTGTTTGGGAAGGAGTTCCAGGATTTTGAGCCTCAAGAAACAGCAATATATTCCCAATTCAGAATGAAGAGTGGTTTGGAGCAGAACTTGCATGAGGTTCCCACATATTCGCCGACCTTGTCTTTCAAGATGGTAGTGGTTGTAGATTTGGAAAACGCTGTCTAATGAGACTTGGCGAATTTCTGCAATGCATCTTGTAGATGGGAAAAACTGCTGCAACTGAGCATCAGCAGTGGAGAAACTGGATATTTGTGACAGGGTGTCAATCAAGTCATAGAGTCATACAGCACAGAAACAGACCCTTCCGAACCAACCGGTCCAGGCCAAACATCATCCCAAACTAAACTAGTCCCACATGCCTGCTCCTGGCCCATATCCCTCCAAAGCTCTCCTATTCATATATCCATCCAAACATCTTTTAAACATTGTAATTGTATCCGCATCTACCGCTTCATCAGGAAGTTCATTCCACATGCGAACCACCCTCTGTATAAAAAATTTGCCTCTTATGTCTTATTTAAATCTCTCTCCTCTCACCTTAAAAATATGTCCCCTGGTCTTGAAATTTCCCATCCGAGGGAAAAAACAACTACCATCAACTCTATCTATACTCTCATTATTTTATTAACTTCTATCAGGTCACCTCTCAACCTCCTACACTGCAATGAAAAAAATCCCAGCCTATCTAGCCTTTCCTTATAACTCAAACCTTCCATACCCAGAAACATCCTGGTAAAACTCATCTGGACCTTCTCCAGCTTGATAAAATCCATCCTATAACTGGGTGACCAGAACTGGATGCAGTATTCCAGAAGAGGTCTCCCCAATGTCCTGTACAACCTCAACATAACGTCCCAACGCCTATACTCAAATGACTGAGCAATGAAGGTAAGTGTGCCAAATGCCTTTTTAACCATCCTATCTATATGTGACGCAAACTTTGAAGATTTATGTACTTGTACCCCTAGGTCTCACTGTTCTACAACACTACCCAAGACCCTACCATTAATTGTATAAGCCCTACCTTTGTTTGTTATACCAAAATGCAATACCTCGCATTTATCCAGACTAAACACCATTTGTCATTTCTCAGTCCATTGTCTGATTTAATCAAGATCGTTTTATAATCTTAGAAAACCTTCTTCACTATCTACTATGCCACCAATTTTGGTGTCATCCACAAACTTACTAACTATGCCTTCTATATTCTCATCCAAATAATTTATATAAATGACAAACAAAAGAGGACCCAGAACTGATCTCTGTGGAACACCGCTGGTCACAGGCCTCCAGTCCTAACAGCAACCCTCCACCATAACTCTCTGTCTCCTACCATTAAATGGGTTGTTTTGTCCTGCATGGAGCCAGTTCTTGAGTTTTGCTGGATCTAGACTCATTCAGGCAAGTGAGAAGTATTCCATCACAATTCTAATTTGTGATTTGTGGATGGTGGGCAGGCTTTGGGGATTCAGAGGCTGAGTTTGTTACCAACAGTATTACTAGCCTTTGACCTGCTCTTGTCACCATTGTATTTATGTGGCAAATCCAGCTCAGTTTCAGCTAAATGGTAACACATAGGATGTTGATAATGGGACATTCAGTAACTGAATTTCTTTTGAATCTCAAGGGCTGATGGTTAGATTCCCTCTTGTCAGAGTGGCCATTGCCTAACACTTGTGTGCCATAAATACTGCTTGCCAGTTGTCAACCCAAACATGAATATTGCTTATGTCTTGCAGTATTTGAACATGGACTGCTTCAGTATCTGAAGTGTCATGAAGCATGCTGAACATTGTGCAATCATCAGCAAACATCCTGATTTCTGACTTTATGATGGGGGTGGGGGAAGGTCATTCTTGAAGCAACTGATGTTGGGCCTAGGACACCACCCTGAGGAACGCCTGTAAAGATATCCTGCAGCTGAGATGGCTGACCATCAACAACAATAACCATCCTCCTTTGTGCTAAGATGACTCCAACCAGCAGAGAGTTTTCCCGCTAATTCCCATTGACTCCAGTTTTGCTAGAGCTCCTTGATGTCACACTTGGTCAAATGCAGCTTTGCTGTCAAGGGCTGTCACTCTCACACTCTCACCAGAAAGGGGATGTTTGTTGAACCTCTGCACACCTTCCCCCCGACCCCCCCCCGCCGCATCTACAGTGAATTTCATAATTGTCCACCACCAATCACAACTGGATATGTAAGGGCCAAAGGGTACAGATCACAGATCACAGATCTGCTCCATTGGTTGTGGAATCACTTAGCTCCATCTATTATTTGCTGTTTATGCTGTTTGGCATGCAAGTGGTCCTGCTTGGTAGCTTCACCAGATTGACACCTCAGTTTGGGTATGCCTGGTGCTGCTCCTGGCATGCCCTCATGCACTGTCCATTGAACCAGCATTCGCCTCTTGGCTTGATGGTAATAGTACTGTGGGGGTATGCCAGGCCATGAGGTTGCAGATTCAGCTGGAGTGCGAGTCTGTTGCTGATGGTCCATAGGACCTCTTGGATGTCTAGTCTTCTGTTGCTAGATCTGTTCAAATTCTATCTCATTTAACAGTGTGGTAGCGCCACACAACACAATAGAGGTTATTTTCACTGTGGTGACAATTTGAGGCAGGCAGATTAGTGAGGATGAGGTCCTCACTAGTGAGGATGATGTTGGTTCCCTCACCAGCTGCCGCAGACCCAGCCCAACAGCTATGTTCTTTGGAATCAACCAGATTGGTCAGGTGCTGCTAAACCATTCATGGTGATGGACATTGAAGTTAGTCACCCAGTGTATGTTATTCACAATCGTCACCCTCAGTGCTTCTTCCAGTGATATGTACTGGTTCATCAGCTGAAGGGATGGAATACATGGTAACCAGCAGGAAGTTTCCATGCCCACATTTAATCTGATGCTATGGGTTTTCATGGGGATGAGGGAGTTGACACTGGACCTACAGCTGGACTGATGAGCTATAGGGAGAGGCCGAATAGGCTGGGGCTATTTTTCCTGGAGTGTCGGAAGCTGAGGGGTGATCTTATAGAGGTTCATAAAATCATGAAGGGCATGGATAGGGTGAAAAGCCAAGGTCTTTTCCTCAGGGTAGGGGAGTCCAAAAGTTGAGGGAATAGGTTTAAGGTGAGAGGGGAAAGATTTAAAAAGGACCTAAGGGGCAACATTTCACGCAGAGGGTGATGCATTAATGGAATGAGCTGCCAGAAGAAGTGGTGGAGGCTGGTACAATTGCAACATTTAAAAGGCATCAGAATGGGTAGATGAATAGGAAGGGTTAATTAATATTAATTTAGGATATCTGCTTGGCATGGAGGAGTTGGACCAAAGGGCCTGTTTCCGTGCTGTACAGCTCTATAACTCTATGTCTGTATGAGTCCCAGGATAATTCCCTCCTGACTGTATACCGTGTGCCACCACTTACCGTTGGGACATACCCAGGGATGATGGTGGTGGTGCCTGAGATGTTATTCATGCAGTTTCATTACTTCCAGCTTTGCAGCAGTTGATACAATGGAGTGGTTTGCTAGGCCCTTTCATGGGGCAGTTGAGAGTCAACCTCATTGCTGTGGCATTAGGTCAGACCAGATAAGGATGATACATTTCCTTCCCTTTGGGCATTTACAACAATGGGCAATGGTTTCACAGTCCTTATTAGATTTTTAATTCTATATTCTTACTAAATTCAAATTCCACCATCTGCCATTGTAAGATTCAAACCCCAAACACATTACCTGGGTCTCTCAATGACTAATCCAGCCACAACACCACTAGGTCATCATACCATCACCCCACCCCTCCCCCACCAAAGGTAAGCATGCAATAATAATTGTGGCACAGTGATAGTGCCCCTACCTCTGGACCAAAAGACCTGCGTTCAAGTCTCAGCTGCTCCAAAGGCATAAAATAACATCTTGAAATTAATCAATCAAAACTATCTACTTTGGGGGAAAAAAAGGGAGAAAATCAGCCCCTGCCTATCAATATTGGTCATTCTGTCTGCAAGCATCCACTTATACATGTTAGATGAGGAGAGAAGGGAATTTGGCTGTGAAGCCCTGTTTAGTGTCCTGCCTAAACCTTGCAGAATGGCCCCAGAGGTGAGGAACAAAGGGGAACTGGTGTCCTGAGGAGTTGAACACAAATATGAGCCTATGCTTTGCAGGGGTGGGTGAAGGGGCAAACAATCAGGGGAGAGGCAACAACAAATTTGCAAATGCTCCTGGGAAATTACAATGTTTTTGAATCCTTTCTTGGAGTGATAAGCAATTTGGAATTGTACTTTAATTAATTACAGATCATTACTGAACCAGCTAAATTGGCTTTGAATGGCATTTAACATTTGCTATCTGAGGTACAGTTCCTCATGTGAACCCCACTGTGTAAGGACTTAAAATGTTCCTGCCTATCTGCCTGGCTCCTTCATGTAGTTCCACAGATAGTCAAATCTCCTCATTGTGCTGTGGAATGTTTCCAAACTAAAAACACGTTTTCTTTTCTTCCAGGTGCTGAACTTTACAAAACCAGTTTAGGAACGGAAATGTAATAAATGGGACATGGGCCCAAGGCTTTTCTCAAAGAAACACGTCAAGGTTTCTTTAGCAGGAAAGGCTGATCTTGGCCAGTTGCTGTCGACATTTGCAGCAGCTGGAAAGGGTAGTTGAGCTGGAGAGCCTGCAAAAGGGATCAAACAATGATCATCAAGGCCATTCAGCAGCAGATGGAACATGAGATGTTCTCTCGGGGAAACCGGCAAGGAGTGAAGACAGAGCCACCAGTAACTATTGAAACCTCCTGAGAACATACATAAAGATGGAGCAGACCAACTCTAGCCTCAGATCTATCCTTTGCATTTTCAATTTTCAATTATTTGATTGACCCAATTTTATAACATTTGTTAAGCATCCCAAGATGTTCTGTAATCTGTCCAAAGATGCATTTAATTATTCAGCTATGACAGAATTATTACAATGGAGAATGATTGGGCCCATCATGTCCTTCCAAACTCTCCAAAATGAGCATTTCACTTAGCACCACAGTCCTCTGAAGTAGGGATGAGGAGGCTAATGTTAGTAGAGTCAAAATTAACATGTATGATAGTTTTGAAATAAATGCTGCAGTTATGCTCAACTTATTCCACGTTGTAACAAAAACAGTCTGTGTAAGTACTATTTGTTGCTTCATGGAGCCATGAGGTAAGTGAATTGAAGGCCAGGCAGGATGGTCCAGTTACCATGGAAACGGGCAGATCTAAGGCTGAAGGCTGAGATAACTGGAGCCTGCACAAGGTTGAGAATTATAAATGTGTGCTGATCTGATAATCCACAACTCCACTCTCCTGCCTTTTCCCCATAACCATCAATTGCCCCTTACTGATTTCAAATCTTGTCTATATCAGCCTTGAATATACTTGACCCAACCTCTACAGCCATCTGCAGCAAAGACTTACGTGGATTGACTCCCCTCTGAGAGAAGAAAATCTTCCTCATTTCTTTGTTTTCAAAAGGCTCTTTGGGCGACCAAGATGAGCTAGAATAAAATCCCTTGCACAACCTAGAATAAAATCTTTATTTCCTCGACCCACACAGAATCGACCATGATCATTTCTCAGCAAACCAACCTGTAACCCTGCACGTTCATCCTTGTGAAACAACAGTGTCATTCCTATTACAATGCCTCAATTCAATCTGCCTCTACCTCACAGTCAAGCATTGCATTCCAGACTAAACCATTTTTCTCTTGTCACTTTGCTTCTTTTGTCAATTACTTTATATCTGCACCCTCTTGTTCTCATCTACTCTGTCCAAATCCTTCATGATATGATCTATCAGATCTCATCACAGCTGTCTGTTCTCTGGAGAAAACAGTCCTAATCTGTCAAATTGATCTTCATAAATGAAGTTTCTCATCCCTGAAACCATTCTCATAAATCTGTTCTGCACCTTCTCCAGGGCCCTTACATTCTTCCAAAGGTGCTATGCTCTGACCTGGATGTAATACACCAGCTGAGGCCAAGTATAAGTGTCTTACACTCAAAGATTTTTGTGTATTGCGTGATGAGTGAGTTTGTTGAAAACATCTGACAGTCTTTGGCATAGGGTTTTAGAATTGGAATTATTCAAAACGCAAGAATTTTTTGCTTTTTCTTTTGAGAACTGTTGTCAAGTTAAAAGTTTTGCAAATTCCCTCTACCAGCTGTTAAACCTGCCTGAAATTTGTATCAGGCACCCAGGCAAATACACACCCCACTTCCTGTCAATCTCAATTGTCCAGAGCAAGCAACTGAATTCCCGATAGAAACAATTTAATTCTTGGAATGTGAGAATTGTTGACAAGGCGCACACTTCTTACTCAGCGATAATCACTCTGATCAACTGGTGATGAGCCACCTTCTTGAGATGTTACAGTCCCCCATGTAATGAGCATACATCCACAGAGCTGTGAAAGAAGGAGATCCAGGATACTGGCCAAGTGACAGTGGGTAACCCCACAGTAGGAAAACCATAAAGCCATAAAATGTAGGAGTAGAAGTAGGCCATTCAGCCCATTAAGTCTGCTCCACCATTCAATGAGATCATGGCTGATCCGATCATCCTCAACTCCACTCCCCTGCCTTTTCCCCACAACCGTCAATTCCCCCTTACTGATTTAAAATCTTGTCTACCTCACCTTGAATATACTTAACCCAACCTCTACAGCTGTCTGTAGCAAAGAATTACGTGGATTGACTCCCCTCTGAGAGATGAAAATCTGCCTAATCTCTGCCTTAAATGGATAACCCCTTCTTTTCAGAGTATACTGCCCGGTCCTGCACTCCTATGAGGGATAACAAACTCTCTGTCAAGCCTTCATAAGAATCTTATTCTGTTTCAATAAGATTCTCTCTCAATCTTCTAAACTCCAGGCCCAACCTACTCAACTTCTCTTCAGAATGCAATCATCCATAGTGAACCTTCTCTGTACTGCCTCCAATGCCAGTATATCTTTCCTGAGATAATGGGAGCAAGTCTGTTCAGAGTATTCCAGGTTTAGTCTAACTAGTGCTTTATACAGTTTTAGCAAGCCTTCTCTATTTTAAAACTCCATTCACTTTGGTATAAAGGACAACATTCAATTTACCTTCCCTATGACCCACTGAACTTGGATGCAACTTTTTTTGAAATTCACACATGAGAATTCCCAAATCCCTCTGTGCTGCAGCTTTCTGCAGTCAGCTATTAAAATAATATTGAGCTTCTCTATTCTTCTTGCCAAAATGCATAGCCTTATATTTTCCCACATTGTATTTCATCTGCCTCATTTTTTGCCCAATCACTTAATCTGTAGACTTTTTGTCTCGTCCTAACTGTTTGCTTTTCTACCTATTTTTGGAGCGAGTCATGAACTATTTTCTTAAGAATCTCCCATTGTTTGTCAACGATTTTTTGCCACTAAACCTCTTTCACAGTCCACCTCAGCCAACTCTGCCCTTATTCCTTTGCACTTTTGCCACAAACCTGGTGATACTACATTCATTTCCTATATGCAGGTCATTAATATACATTATAAATAATTGTGGCTCCAGCACTGATCCAAGTGGCAGTCCACTAGTTCCACTCAAAATGTCCCTATCCCAATTCTGTCTTCTATTAGTTGGCAATTGTTCTATCTATGCTAATATACTGCTCCCAATATCTACATCTCTAATCTAATAAAGTAGCCTAATAGGTGATACCTGATCGACTGCCTTTTGATAATCCAAATAGATTACATCTACTGCTTCCCTTTAACTATCCTGCTTATTGCCACCTCAAAGAATTCTAGTGACTTTGGCAGGCATGATTTCCCCTTCACGAAGATATGCTGAATCTGTTCGATTATGTTATGCACTTCTAAATGATTTTTCTTAAAAAGCTCTGTCTGTTTTCGTATTAGTTGTTGGTTTACCATCAATATTCATTTTCTCCCTTTATTTGATCAACTATTGCTAGTTTTTAAAGCTTTCCCAAACCTCTTGCTTTGCTACTAATCTCAGCCACATTTTCTGTCTTTTTTCCCTTTCAGTCTGATTTTATCTTTAACTTCTTGGTTAATCTTCTCCTAGGATTCTTCTTCCTAACTGGTATATATCTTTGATGCAAGCCATGAACTATTTCATTAAAGGTCTACCCTTGTTCATCAACCATCTTTTCTGCTGGACTCTTTTCCCATACCATCTCAGCCAACTCTACCCTCATTCCTTTGCAATTGCACTCATTTAACTGCCAACAAGTGCTGGCCTTGCAAATGATTCTAATGTCTCATGAAAGAATGAAGAAAATATAAACTTTAGTCAAGTGGCAGAGTTGGCATATGTCCAATAAATAATATAGTGTCAGCTGGGTTCAGCTGAACCAGAGTGTTGTGGATCATAAGAACCACTTAAGGACCACAGCAAGTTCTTTAGATTGGAACTTCAATATATTATAGAGCCACTGCACTATAGGAGATGCAATTTTTCACAAAGGATCCTCTGGCCCTATTTCAGGAATGGTGTACAACACTCCTGGTCTTCCTTATTTCATACAACAACGCCAACAGCTGGTCATTCATTCATTTATTGTTTGGGGATGTTGCTGTGCACAATATTCCAGATATCAGTTCACAGGCAACTCTTTACCATGTGGTTTCCCACACTACGGACTTTTTACAGACTGATCAAGAAGAAGGTAAAGTCAACATCTATCTTCAGGCTTGAGAGTTATACTATTTATTTTCCAATAATATTAGATATTGTTGTGCGTGGTAATTATTGATGTACCAAACTCTGACTCATAATTACACTAGGTGAGGACTAGACTATACTTTGGTCTGGTGCAGATTTCCAGATTCTAGAGTGTGACTTCCATGGGGTTCCTTATAGAAATCTCTAACTCCACCCCACTCTCTATTTCCACAGGTGTAGCTCTGTGACACCATTGCAAAATTGTTCCAGGTCAGAGATCCTTTTCACAACAGTGATAAACTGCAAAGGCAACTCTGTGGCCCTGGAACAACCTGAGAACACAACAACACCTATCCAAATGCAAGTTCCTTTTTATATACCTGAATGACATGTCCTTGTCAGTGCTTGAGGTGGGTAGTTGTGGCAGTGAGGGGAGACAGCTTCAGGGTGATATGTAGAAGTTCAACATTAAAGCTGTGAAACGATAATTACGTGTTGCAAGATTTTAAATTGAGTTGAGCAATTCAGTGCTACAATCCGTGTGCACAAATCAACCTTTCTACAACACTATCCTGTGGACACGTGTGCAGGCAAAATTGCCTGTAAGAGTGTGATAGAAATGATATGATTTCACATAGATTGCTTTATACTTTGCATGGCGTATTTAATATTCATTCCACAGAGTATTCATGCGGATCTTGTGATTGATTAAAACTTGAAACAGCAGTCACGCTAATCTTACGGAAACTAAAATGTCCATTAACATAGGTCACAGGATGAATTGAGCAGTGAACAAGAGAGAGTAGAGGACTACTTGTGTTTTATTCTTTGACACATCACAAAGAAGTTCAAAATGTACGTCAATGGACCTCATTATTTCAGACAGTGAATGACACGCTACTGGATGTTAAATATCAGACGCATTGGCTAATCTTTTTTACTAAATGGACGGTGATAATGGAATGATAGATAAAAACTTGCAATATAATTGACTTGCAATTATATTTGATCTTTTAAAACCTTATTTCAAAGCACTTTAAAGCCATGATGTGGAGATGCCGGTATTGGACTGGAGTGAACAAGGTCAGAAATCAGAAGGCACCAGGTTATAGTCCAACAGGTTTATTTGAAATCACAAGCTCCTGGAATGTTGCCCCCTTCCTGAAGAATAATAACCTGGCGTCATCTGACTTCTCAGTTTAAAGCCAATTAAGTACTTCTGAAATGTAGTCATGGAGGAAAGAC